TAATTTAAAATAGGGCAAATTCTGAAGGAATGAAAGAAGAATTATTTGCTATGAATTTACAAATATATTCAGTGGAAGTGCTGATCACATGTGGAAAAAATCTCTTAATAAGTTCTTCAAATTTAAAGATGGGTATATTCCTCATAGGAAAAAAAATGATGGACTTTAAGTATAAAAAGCAGGCTGACTCATAAATGGTATAAATGATAAAATTCAAGAAAAGCATGATAAATTTAAGAAGTTTAAATTGATTGGAATGATGGGAGATTTGGACAATTATACAATATCAAGAGAGCTAGGCCAATGGGAAATTAGCAAATAAAAAACTGTACGAAAAAAGATTGGCTGAAAAGGTAAAAATTGCTATCAATGATTTTTTTTAAATACACTAGGATGGGGGTAGGGCCTTTGAGGACTAATACAAGTAGGCTAATATTTTATGATTATGGGATGGCTGGGTTATTAAATTCTTCTTTTTCTTTGCTTTTTACTAATGAGGGTTTAGGTAATATTCCTGAACCTAAACAGTTGCTAGATGGAAACAAGATGATCACACTAATTCTGAGCCTGTTAAGAAAAAAAATTGGGAAGTTTAAAGAATGATAAGTCTCCTGAGCCAGATAATACTTACCCAACGGTTTTGAAAGAGGTTAAGGAATAGATATGTGAGCCACTTGCTGTTTTTTTTTTTCTAAATCTTTGAAGAGAAGATAGGTGTCACGAGATTGCAAGTTGGCTAATATTACTCCACTTTTCAAAGGAGGTGATAAAAATTGTTCTAATGTAATTACAGTCCTATTAGTCTTACATCAGTAGTGGGAAAAAATTATAAAGTTTGATAAATGGTGCTTTGCAAAGTCATTTTCAAAAGTTCAAAAATGATTTGGATAATCTTCATGGTTTTACAAGGGGAAATCTTGCCATATCAATCTTTGGAGATTCTAGATGAGGTTACTGCTTATACAGATGAGAGCATGAGTGCGGATTTAATGTATCTTGGTTTCACAAAGCATTTGACAAGGTGGCATATAAAATTCTTGTTCGAATGTTACCTTTTTAGGTGTGAGGGATAGGTTGGCCATTGGAGAGAAACTCACTAGATGGAAGAAAGCAGAGGGTTGTTATAAAATGGAGTTCAATCAAACTTGACTTATTTCACAAGTTGGATACCTCAGGGCTCAGTGTTAGGACCTTTGTTCTTTGTTGATTTACACCAATGACATAGATAAAGTAATGTTCAGTAAGTTGTTTAAATTTGATGCTAAAGTTTCGGTGTTTCTGTAAGGAAAATTCGTATTATTTAAAGAGTTGCCGAAAAAAATGGCAGATGGCTTTTGATTATAATAAATACAAGGTAATTCATACGGGATTTTACAATTTGAATTTTGAATATAATTTTGATGGGAATAACTTTAGACAAAGAAAACGATCTTGCGGTTCTGATTGAACAGTCATTAAGTTATCCAAGCAGTGTGCTGTTGCTGGTGGCAGGACAGATAGGATTTTGAGTTGTATCTACACAAATATTGAATACAAATCTAAAACGTTTATAATCTCATTGTATAAGTTACTGGTTAGGCCACATTTGAAGTATTGTGTTCAGTCTTGGGCTCCTTACCTTAGGAAGAACATTGAATTGTTGGAAAGGTTTAAGAGGGGGTTACTAGGATGATACCTAGAATGGAAAATTCGTCATATGAGAATACGTTAAGATCTCTGAAATTGTTTTACTTGGAAAATAGGAAAGTTAGAGGGGATCTGATTGAGGTGTTTAAGATTGTTAAGGGAATTGATAGTGTTGATGGATCATCTTTTTTCACATTAATGATGAAAATGGTAGGACTAGGGGACTCAAGTATAAATTTTGACAGGGTCGGAATAATCTTCAGATAAAACAGTTTTATTTTCTAACATGGTAGTTAGACTTTGGAATAGGTTGCCCTCAGATGTGGTAGATGCAGTTAATTTTAAGGAGTTTACGAGAAGTTTTAATAAAAATTGAACGATAAGTTACAACTGTGACTTTCTGGTGCTAGTTACAACTGTATCTTCCACCTTTGTTTTCCATCTAAATAAGTAACCAGCACGGGTAAGTCCCATATATGCCTGCTGCCTTTGTTTACCATTTAAATAACTAACTAGCACGAGTAAGTCACAGCTGTATCTTCCACCTTTGTTTTCCATCTAAATAACTTACCAGCACGTGTAAGTCACAGCTATATCTTCTGCCTTTGTTTTCCATGTAAATAACTAACCAGCACGGGTAAGTCACAGCTATATCTTCTGCCTTTGTTTTCCATGTAAATAACTAGCACGAGTAAATCACAGCTGTATTTTCCATCTAAATAACTAACCAGCACGGGTAAGTCACAGCTATATCTTCTGCCTTTGTTTTCCATGTAAATGACTTACCCGTGCTGGTTAGTTATTTACATGGAAAATAAAGGCAGAAGATATATCTATGATCTATAACTTGTGCACATGGAAAACACTTGTATAAAGTACAGAACGAATATGGTGCATGTTTTATACAAGAAATAATAGAGACGAGAAGCTTCTATGAGTGAAGAATGGGCTGTTCACTGGCCACGTGGTTACCGGCTTCCTATCTAAACTATAAATCGGCTAATATTTATTTGTATGAAGAAGTTTCCAAACATTTCGGAGATCCTTCAGTATGCCCTAGAGAGATTCTAAAAAAATCCTTATATATTCCACTTCGCTTGCTGAAACCGGTGAATGATGGGTCATCCCCGTGAAGCCAACCATATAAATTCTGCACCCGACGTTAGTACCTTTAACTTTAATAGCTTACCAATGAAGGTCACAAAAATATTTTCCCTTTTCTGAGAAATGTCATAAAAAGTCTAGCCCCGTATTATGTTGGTTTGATGTGAACTTAGATCAAAGCTACGCGAGGGCTATCTGCGCTAGCCATTACTAACTTAGCAGTGATAGACTAGAGGAAAGGCAGTTAATCAACACCACCCACCGTCAACTCATGGGTTACTATTTTACAAACGAAAAATGGGATTGACTCTCACATTATATCACTCAAACAGCTGAAAGAGCGAACACATTCGGTGAGGGGGATTCGAACCCACGAACCGCACGAGCGCCCTAACTACCACGCGATGCAAGGGTCATATTGGTGTGGTAATGAAATACAAACTTTTAATATTAATGTTTAAGAATTTTCTCCCATTTTGCGACGGGAAATTATTTTCAACATTTCAAATTCACGATTAAATTTTTTGATGTACACTGTGTTCCATCGAGAAGAATTATAATATCGGTCTCAGCACGAGAATTTTATTGTCGAATTTGGTCTTCACTGTAAATTTAGCTGTATATCTAGAAAGAGGCTGTTGAGTTCTACGATAAAATGGGATAAACTGTTTCCCAGTAGGTAAGCCCCCCAGTGGCACAGCCGTGGGAGCGTTATATTGTTGATAAAAGAGTAGCTCAAGAGTTGTCAGTAGGTGGTGATGACTAGCTGCCTTCCCTCTGCTAAATTAGCGCAGATAGCCCTCGTATAGCTTTGCGCGAAACTCAAAACAAATCAAACCCAGTAGGTATCTAGTGCTGCCATCTATACAGTAGATCTTGAATCAAGACATACCACGAAGGAAAGACCACAAAGAACGATTGTTTAGTTCATTACTAACATATCAGAAGTGGCTAAACCAAATTATCTCTATAATCTCCTGTAGTTACTGCCAGACCTTAAGTGAGGGACTTTACTCAATTTAAGCAGTGGCTTAATACAAGTTGTATCTCATTAATACTGACGTCAGCACTTTGAAAAAGTGGCCATAAAAGTAAGTGAGATAGAAACACACTTTACTCGTATTAATATGTCTAGACTTACTTCTGTCGCTAACCTTCTGCCCTCTTTCATGGACTACAAGTATAGGTCATCTTTGTTTTTTCGAGATTTGTTGTTGTTGTTGTTGAATAATTTTATAATTCACATAATATTTCCAAGCTCGTTCTTTTTTTTTAACTTTTTGTTGTACGAAAATTTTGATAAAACACTTAATGAGCACTTTATAAGTTTTAATAAACATTTGCTTAGTCCATCATATATTTATTCAAACTTCATCTTTATTGACGTCATCATTTCTTGTCAGTACTCACGATATTCGAATCGTTTAAAGACCAATTAAAATTCACGAAGAATCCAGGTGGCTGCAAAAAGAGTTGTTATTTGTAGCGACTTACAACTTTTTATATTTTATTTATTTAATTAAACTTTAAGGCGCATGATGATACTTGAGGTCACTTTCAATAAAACAGCAAGTTGAAATTATTACTTGTTTTGTTTAATATTCACTGTTTATTATTTCACTTTTATCTTGGCCAAGTTCCAACAAAGCTGTCACGCAGTCCTGGGTTTTCACGTCTCCCTTGGCAACAGAGGCGCCACCTACGACCGAACACTGTTAGTATTGATAGCCACAAGGATTTATCAGGTGAAGTATATTTAAAATAAATAAATATTTATGTATAATTTAAGAACTTTAATGTACCAAGTTTTATTTAAAGCGTTTATTTCAATAAGCAATAGCGACCAAAACCAATTACACTGAAACTAAGTGTAACAACTTCCCCTTGGAATAACGTATAACAATCCACAAACCCCCTAGTGGCACAGCGGTAAGTTTGTAGACTTATAACGCTACAAAACTGGTATCGATACTCGTGGTGAGGCACAGCACAGAGAGCCCATTGTGTAGCTTTATGCTTAACTAAAAACAGCCAACCAGCAGGACCCACGCCTTTGACTGGACAAGGACTTTTGAATAGAATAATAAGACTGGCTCTCACTGCTGATAATACGGAATTTGTTCAACAGTAACACGTTTCAAACCTTGGACCCTTTGATCCTCAGCTAAATTTGTGTGTTACTCAAGAGAACTTCTGATTATTTGTTTGAAATTCCAATAACGTCAAACTTATTTAAAAAAAAAAGTTAATTTACTCTTAAGTGGACCAGGATGTTAGCTCTGGATTATGGATTCACTAACTTTTTTACTGGGGAATTATTCATCAGTTTTCTTCATCCTTTCTTCGACCATTATTTCCAATATTCTGGTAAAAATCGATTACTTTTTGTTCCGTCCAGAAACGAATATAGAAAACTAACCAATTCAGGAGACAATGGTGTACTTTCATCAAAGATGGTACAAGTGCATGGATTTGACCACGATGAAATATACACTGAGAATATGTTAGGAAAAATGTAGGACAAAGAGAGTTTCAAGAAAAAATAAGATAAAACTGGAAGTGAAAAGAAGAAACCTTCTTCTGGTTCTTCCAAAGTAGATGCCGCTGTTTGTCCTGGATCTTGAAGTTAGTGGCTCAGTTGTTAATGAATTTCATCTATTGTTCCTTTTACTAAAAAGTTTTTGTAAAAAAAAAATCTTCTTGTGTACTTTGTCTGTTAGTCGTCTTATTCAAGTACTTCTGGCTATTGTTTGATATGAAACATGTACGTTTCTGGCCAAGTCTACACCGAACATATTAATCAACACTTGAAGCATGTACGTTTCTGGCCAAGTCTACACCGAACATATTAATCAACACTTGAAGCATGTACGTTTCTGGCCAAGTCTACACCGAACATATCAATCAACACTTTAGACTTGGCCAGAAACGTACATGCTTCCACCGAATATATTAATCAACACTTATCAAAATAGATAACCTTTGACACCAGTTTGGAAGATGTGATCAAAATTAGTTTCTGTGTTGTTTTTGGGTTCCCTAAGCCCAATTCTAAACGATACCACAATTAAAAGTAAAACAAGTAGGTAGTACCCGATCTGATGATGTAAAAAATTATCACACTGTTGTAGCCTCTCATTGGCTCAGCAGCAAGTCTTGTAACACTAAAAACCGGGTTTTGATAACCGTGATGGGCACAGCACAAATAGCTCATTGTGTAGCTTTGTGCTTAAAGACAAGTAAACCAAGCTTCTAAAAGTATTACACGTAACAAGTAAATCAAGCTTCTAAAAGTATTACATGTAACAACTAAACCAAGCTTCTAAAAGTATTACATCGCCACCTAGTAACATGAAGTTGTACTTTTTTATCTGGTTTGCAATGTTATTAATACTTAAAATAATATGATGAAACCTCTATGTTGTTTATGATAACGTAGTGTAAAAATATCTCTGGTATAAATATTGGATATATTGTACTTCATTGTGGAAAGACGACACTGTAGGTTGTGGTGTTTGGTCAGAGCAGCCCTGGTATAAATATTGGATATATTATACTTCATTGTGGAAAGACGACACTGTAGGTTGTGGTGTTTGGTCAGAGCAGCCCTGGTATAAATATTGGATATATTATACTTCATTGTGGAAAGAGGACGCTGTAGGTTGTGGTGTTTGATCAGAGCAGCCCCATTAAACAAGAAAACATTTTATTTAATTTTACTGTAATTTACTTCGTCATGAGGTACGGATGTTTTGTTGATTAACCCTTTCTTACCCAAAAACAAGCAAATACGTTGTTTGAAATGCATTTTTTTTCTATTCACAGAGTTGGCAACAGTAAATCGTTGGTCACAGAACCTGATACGAAAAGTCCGTTCATTGTGGGATATAGGTAAAAATTGGATTGTCTGTTCAGTTCTGCGCATGTGCAGATGTATTTGAGACTTGCATCTTGGTGACTGTGTTTTATAGACAACGCTTGATATGTTTGGCTCGAATTAATTTATTCCCAACCTACATTATCACATTTGTTATGAAGCTTAGATACTAACTAAAAAGGTGGTAATTTAGAAGAAGGGGCGTGGCATTAATACCACCTGATTCGTACGTACAAATATTGACAGCATGACTTGAACGATGCTTGCATGTATCTTAGCAGCAATAAGACTAACGTGCTCGAGGATTCAGCATTATAGATGCCAATTTCAATACATCTAAACAAACATAATCAAGTTAATAAGTTTCACGATACTTTTACCAGTATCCAAATTCCCTGTTTTAACTTCACACAGTTTTATTGTCGTGGTCTGATGCTTTATGTCGTGAACTTGGCACACATAACAACATGTTCAATGTCCTTTAAGTTTGTTTTTTTTTCTTCCAATGATTCTGTGTCATGATTCAGAGGAAGCATGTTTTACTTGATAATGTTCGTGTTGCTTTAACATCTGTTTCGGAATCCTCTTTTTTATTTCTGATTGAGTGCCATCAACTCTTTGTTCGATTGATATGACTTACTCGTTCTGTTAAAGATGGCGAACTTCCTCACCATGGCAACAAGGGAAATGACAAAGTAAAGAGAAATGGTTTCTACACCCGACTTGGGGTGCTCCTGGGTGGCAAAGGTCAAGAATCTCCAAGAACCGCACCACTAAGACCTGACTCAACCGACCTGATTAGTCAAGACGCTTATGCCAACGTGTCATTGGTTAGTGGTGAAGCACATATAACGGGATCCGCCAACATTAGTCCCGTCACAACAGTCGCAAGTAAGGTTTAGTTTCGATTAGGTTTGAGCATGTGTTTAACTATATAAGAACAACCATAACTGTCACAAACTGGTACTTTGTTTATTTTTTATTACTACGGATATATTACGAACTAACAGTTTTTTATTAAATTTTAAAATATTACTATCATGGGAATATTATGTACCCACAGCGTATATATCAAATCGAGATTTTACACTATCCTAAATACACTATACTGTTACTTAATACAAAATAGTGTATTAAACTGTAGGAACACAATTACCCATGATGGTAAGTAATATATATATACCCACAGATTTTGTATTAAGTAACATTACTTACCATCATGGGTAATTGTGTTCCTACAGTTTAATGTATGATTTCTTTTTTCTGTTTATTCTGTACAGATGTTATCATGGGTACATTGTCTACCAACAGTTTTTAATGAATATTTCTTTTCAACATCATGGGTACATTATGTTCTATTTGTTATTTTATTTATCTAAGATAACATATATATCTTTTCGATGCTAATCGTTCTAATTATGTTATTTTTTAGTTAAGATAACATATATAACTTTTTGCTACTAATTGTTTTAATTACGTTCTTTTTTTTTCACCATTAAGGCTTGATTGTTTCCTGTAATGTCAGAAATATTTGGAAGGAAGAAGAATGACTTATTTCCGAGGTCCAACTGAGTGGTTATATTATTGTTTGAAATGTTATCAATGACTTATTTCCGAGGTTTAACTGAGTCGTTATATTGTTGTATGAAATGTTATCAATGACTTATTTCCGAGGTCCAAATGAGTGATTATATTGTTGCTTGAAATGTTATCAATGACTTATTTCCGAGGTTTAACTGAGTCGTTATATTGTTGCTTGAAATGTTATCAATGACTTATTTCCGAGGTCCAACTGAGTGGTTATATTGTTGTTTGAAATGTTATCAATGACTTATTTCCGAAGTCCAACTGAGTGGTTATATTATTGTTTGAAATGTTATCAATGACTTATTTCTGAGGTCCAACTGAATGGTTATATTGTTGTTTTCAAATGTTATCAATGTCAATGAAGCATTGGTTTAAAGCTTGATCAAGGTCTATTTTTTGAGTGTTTTTCTGTTACAGTACTGGTTACCTGGTGTGTCTAACGCTGTCGTCTGTGGCTTAGAAGATTTTTTCTTTCTTTCATAAGTCACTAGTATCTTCGGACCAGAAGGACTTAGAACATGTAGAACACATTTCTGGTGAACTGATACTTCTTCTCTGTTCTTGAGGTGCAAGATTTTTCCAATTTCTTAGTTGATGAATGCCTCAAATATGTCTGAAAAGTTGCGTAACTCAATTTCAAGAAGTGTAAGAAACATGGTTCAATAAGTTCTAGATCTTCAGGAACATGCCTCAACAAGTCCTAATTTTTCAGGAACATGCCTCAACAAGTCCTAATTCTTCAGGAACATGCCTTAACGACTCTTAATTCTTCAGGAACATGCCTTAACAATTCCTAATTCTTCAGGAACATGCATTAACTATTATTAATTCTTCAGGAACATGCCTTAACAATTCCTAATTCTTCAGAAACATGCCTTAACAATTCTCAATTCTTCAGGAACATGCCTCCAAAATCCCTAATTTTTCAGGAACATGTCGGATTAGGTCCTAATTCTACAAGAACACGCCTCAACAAGTCCTAATTTTTGAGGAACACGTCGCACCAGGTCCTAATTCTACAAGAACATGCCTTAAGAGGTCCTAATTCTAAGTCCTTATTTTTCAAGAAAATACCTCAACAACTCTTAGCTCTTCATATTTTATCCTGGTTCATCTTTTTCTTGACTTTTTTTTTCTGTATTACAGATTCATCAATTGTAAATGATGCAAGTATGGACAACTTACGGGCAAAGCGTGAGTTGCGTCGTGATAGTGTAGCATCGTTTATGAGCTCTTGCCCTAGCGGGTTTCTCAGCCCCCTGGCGACGAACTTTCGACGGCAGCTCAGTGAAAGTATGATTTTTCTTTTCTCCTTAATTTCTTGTTGTATTAAATAACATGAATGATATTATTTAATTCTGTATTAATATTTCCACTCTCCTGTTAATTATCTCGACAAATTGTTATTAGTTTCAGAACACTGTTAAAAATATATACCTTATTTTATAAGTTTGTAAAATTCAAATTATATTTTCATATCTTCTTTTAAAGTTCAATTATTTAAGGTTTTGCTATTTCTTGGTAATTTCCTTTTTAGTTTCTAGAAATAACTAACATATTACCTCAAGGAATTACAGTACGTATTTCACATTCAAGTACTGTTCGACACCATCAGTTAAATTTTACTGTCTTCTTAGAAAGGAATTTCCAATATATATTTTCTAACTGTGTTGGTTTTGAACAACTTAAGATTAAAAATACAGTGAATATAATGTGGATTACACGAAAATGACCTTAACTGATGATATATTTTAGGGATGAAAGAGTCTAGTCCGTTTTGGAAAAGGTCAGCGTTCATACGTCGATCTGACAGGAGTATAAGAACATCTTTCGCAGTAGATAGTAGAGGTATGAAAATTACAAGAATTCTTTGAACGTTTTATTGACATTTTCACTTTTCAAGTACGATAAACGATTAAATAATTTGAAAATAGCAAAGACGTTTGTTGTGAGATATGTTCTTTGTACGATGACTTGACTCATACTAAAGAAAAATGCAGATGTAGGATGTTTGGTTATACCTAGATTTGTTGACAAATGAATCACAATATAACATCCAAGGAAAATGTTGAGTTCACAAGTTCACTTCCGAAAAGCCCCCCCCCCCTCCACTTTGATTCCTCGGCGACAAGTTTGAAGACTTATAACGCTAAAACTCGGGTTTCGATACATCTGGTTGACACAGCACAGATAGATCAACGTATAGCAAAATACAAATTATTTCCTAAATAGGATTATTACCGATTCGTTTTTTTTCTTGGTCTTTATAATTATTTTTAAGTATTTATTAGCGAAATTTCGTGGGTTTCAGAACATGACTATGACTAGTTTTAACCTTATGTTTCTGGGTTTAAGGACCTTGACTATGACTAGTTTTAACCTTATGTTTCTGGGTTTAAGGACCTTGACTATGACTAGTTTTAACATTATGTTTCTGGGTTTAAGGACCTTGACTATGACTAGTTTTAACA